TATTTTCGGTTCACATATCTCGTACGAATTATGTGGACCGTGTTTTCCACTTCACCGTAGTATGAAAATTTACGTAGTTGCCAATTCCCTTGTGCCTGTAATTTCAACCCGACAAAACCGGACCGCAGTAAGTAACTTTACTACATGGCGAGAGAAAAAGGTAAGGCACTTTTTACCCGACAAAACCGGACCGCAGTAAGTAACTTTACTACATGGCGAGAGAAAAAGGTAAGGCACTTTCTTGAACAAATTCTTTCACTAGGACCTCTACTGCTTTTAAATTTGTGTTATAATAGAGTTACAGAGAGCTTAAGGCATAGTCTACCACACTTTCCTACGCGGGAAACAGACATCACATGTTTTAGAAACGGTTTTTTTGCAGTTGCCAGTAGGTACTTTGATTCATAATGCTCTTAACAGTTATGTAACATTATTACACAATCGGTCTTGTTATTGTCACACTATCTCATCTTATTCAATGGTCGAAATAGAGTGTTCCAAATGAGTACATAAATGTCTACATAGATACAAAGAACGACATAGAGTGGTTAATTTAAAAAATAATAATTAATTACTTTTCTTAATTCCGGATTTCCGGAAATAGTTTTACTCGCATAGTAGATAAAACTAGTCATCTGAGAATCTGAAGTTGGATTTTAATAACTAATATTTCACCAAAGTAAACATGCCTAACTAATGCGTCAACAGAATTACTTCAAAATCCAACTACAGCTTTTTAGGTGAATTATTTATCCTACGATGCAGTAAAACTATGTTCGGAAACACGGAATCCGAAAAAACGGACTGCCACGCAGACGTCTCAGGTTCGATTCCAGGGCAGGGAGAAATATTTGTATGGCCGACATCTATTGATCTCGTGAGTTTGGGTGTAATTTGCGGTTGTCTGTGTGCGTCCATGGCACTCGCGATACAGGGTTTTCCTACTGCGGGGCCATGTTGAGTGTGTGCGTTATTATTATTAATTATTATTTGGTGGTTTTAACGATAAACAGAAAACTTAAAATTTATTAAAATTAAACATTATGAATTATGATAAGAAACACCACCATAGATAATATTATATGTACGACACATTTTTGCACTTTAAAGCAGCGGAATAAGGCATTTTTTTTACCATTTCCGAGGTTTTGATCGAGATAATACCATAACATACAAAGCGAAAATGGCGGACTGAGGTCAAGTTTGCGGAACTCCGCGCACCACGCAAAGTAAACACTTCAACTGTATTTATTGATCTGTAGTTTTAACTACTCCAAGTTACTCCTTGTATCTATATGTAGACTCTATCTAACTAATTTGGAACATCCTATTCCGACCAATGTATTAGTTATTACAAACATCTACTTTAAAAATAAAGATAAATAATAATCAAAATGTTTATCTTTCGACTGTTTGAAATAAGTGAATGGAAACAGTATAATTTTACAAATGTTTGTTATTTCCCATCTAGTACCGTTGTCCAACGACAAAAGTTCATGGAATTACATCTATTTGCCAAGTTTTATTGAAATCGGTTAACAGAAAGTGCGCGAAACCGGATTAATTATTTAGTAGGTAGTTAGTTTGCTTCCCTTAAAGGTACTACACTACTAAGGTACCCTCTTTCCAACCAAAAATAAATCATCAAAATCGGTTCAAAAATGGAGTTATCGAGTATTATACATACAAAAGAAAAACAAACAGTCGAATTGAGAACCTCCTCCTTTTTTGAAGTCGGTTCAAAAAATTAGTTTCCATACCGTTCCGCGGCAATGTATCTTAAGTCGTAGCCGTTAAGATAGAATCTATAGTAGGTATATAACTAAATCAGTCAGTTTGTATAGATTAACCTTTTACAGAGTATGACCTTCATAATGCACTGAAGTCGTATATTACATAACATAGGACAGTTCAAATTACGTGAGAAAATTACCACAATACGAAAGCAATGTGTACATATATTTATATACAAAGTATAACATAATGGCGCAGAGTAAATTCATGGTCATGACTTTATAGAGTTTTAAGTTTTCGCGATTGGTAGACCTATATTGGAAATGAATCTACTTTTTCGGATCTTACATCACGTAGGTACCTATTAGGTTTTTCGAACACACCGACGACGTTGTTTCGGTCTTTTTACAATTCCCATGCAGCAGTAGAGTTCCTTGTGAAAGAGTTAGTCCAGGGAAATACCTTAGTTGGTATTTATTTCTGCCGCCAAGCAGTAATGTGAGCATTACTGCGTTTCGATTTTGAAGGGTAAGGGTGCTGGTGAAATTACAGGCACATATGACTTGTCAACTTGTCTCTGAGTGACAGTCGCTATCCACTCTGGAATAAGCTTATTCCAATACCAACATTCCTCAATCCTGAAAACCACAACACCTAGCTCTGATTTGATTGTTTTAAAAAAGTGATGTTGTACTATCTAGTCGCAAAAAACTAGAGTTAGTCGTCATGCTGTTTTGAAGTTATAAAGATTGTACTGTCCATGTTGAAATTAGCTTATCCGGGCGGTATCATTTTTTTCAACTCAAGAACCACAGATCCTCGCTTAGCTCTGATTGCACCCAGAAAAAATCGTAAATTAGTCGGTTCTAGTCTCAAAATTTTAGAATTAGTCGCTCTTTTGTTTACAATAATTTATTATAATTACGCACACACTCGTAGTTCCGCACTCGGGAATCTCTGTATCGCGGGTGCCACGGACACACACATGGACAACCACAAATAATTCAGAAGAGAAATAAATGTAGGCCATAAATATTTCTCCCGACCCGGGAATCGAACCCGGGGCCTCTGCGTAGCAATCCAGCATGGTAAATGGCCACAGAGGCGGCTTTAGAAAATATAACAGATTCAGTATTTTCATACCTTTGTTAGTCTCAGAGTCTTTATTTTGCACAACGCACAGCATTTGTTAACCTTTTTTAAAATTCATGGTATTTAAAGGTTTTAACTAGAATCAACAAAATAGCGTTTTTTAACTAACTGTCCAATTCCAAAAATTCTACCAATGTCCAACGTGACCAGGGCAGAATTTTTGAAATTTTGAAATAAGGGATGCAAAGAAATGGGATTCCGGGATTTCATAGGGTGGCATTATAAACTCTTATGTGTGCATCACAAAAAAATACTTAATATAACAAAAAAATCTTTATTGCAAATATCACATACGATGCGACAGCAACGAATTTATTTTCTCCCTGCTATAATTTACTATATTAATGTAATACTAATTTTTCTCGAACAGTCATTAAACAATACATAATTTTCTAAAATATTATCATCAAACAAAATAGTATAATAAAAAATATTATTGTATGATTTAGAAAAAATAAAACAACTATACTGAAGTAACTATCAAATAAAATGTGTTTCAGTCAGGTGGGTACTAGACATGTGCGTCACGCCGCCACCAATTAATTCGACCGGCGTAAAATTTTGTTATATTTTAATAAAATACCAACTTTTTTGTTAATTACTTACATTTAACTGTCTCCATACATCATATTCATATTAGATTTAAATTAAAACTTTATTTTTATGTGATTGTTGTTCACAGATAACCTTGCTTACTTACTAAAGTACATACCGGATACAGACCGGATCGAATGGCATAAAAAAAGTTTTGTAAAAATTGCCTTCTATATTGCTGACGGTACCATTTTTTCAAAATCTGTGAATGCCAATCAAAATAACTTCAAAATTCATGGATAGTGTTCTAGAACCGTTTTCCCGTAACTACAACGATTAAGGTAGCTCGCCTTGCTGCCCGTCTCAAATTTGCACCCTGTGTATGCTACGACGAGTTTACGATCAGCGCACATCTCTATCGGGTACAAAATATTTCGTCGTTTGTATATACCCAATAATCATATCATATCAGGGACTGATAATTATTGGAATATATTTATACATTTATTCATTGAGAATTCAAGACCTTTTATAATTATCCTAATTATCTAATCTCTAACTCAAGCGGATGCTACCATGAAACACCTTTTGTTTCACCTATATGGAAACAAATCACTTTTACACACACTTCAAATTGCGACAAAAAAAAATTGTTTCGTACAAAATGACAATTCTACCAAAATTTATGGAACAGATTTCTTAGTAAAAGTTGTTTGGAAATATATATATTGTAATTGTAATACTTTACTTTCTGTAATTCAAATTGAGGGATATTTTTTTTGTAGTATGAAGTTCATTCCCTTAGTATAATAAAGTCACATAATGATTTATATGTGAAATTTTACAAAAGCATAGAAAAGTTATCGACTAATTTCGTTGACTGAAAATTTGTAATTTTGCAAAGGCCTTGTAGCCTTATTACAACAAGGGTGCGAGTCCAAAACATGAACGAAATTTTGAGAGTATGTTGATGAGGTATTACTATTCTCCCGTCAAATGGCGCCAACTTCGACAACAGTACATATTTTTCACAAAAAAAACGATTATAGATTATTATAGAATTCAGTTTTTACACAATTGAAAAATACTGCTGTCTCTTTTAAATAAATATAAAGTCAAAGAGATGACCAGCATTTTCAATATTTTAAACTAGTTAGGGTAAGAAATTGGAATCACATAATCTCAGTACAGAGTACTAAAGAAACCGACCTTAAAAGTACGTAGAATTACATATAATTACCAAGTTTTATTGAAATCGGTTAACGGGTAGTGCGCTAACCCGGATTCATTCCCTAGTTAGCCACTAAAATATAGTAAAAATCGGTTCTCAATTCTCAAAGTTCATCGAGAGAGAAAAACACCTTGAATTGGAGAATAGCAAAATCCACCATTAAAAGAATTGCTGCTTATAATAAAATTTAGGCGCTATTTATAAAAATGAATATTTATGCGTGAACAGCCCCTTTAGAGATGCATGATTTTCTTCAAAATTAAATGGGCCCACTATCCATAGTAGTCCCATTTAATAGCTTCTTTCCAACAAAAAAAGAATCATGAAAATCAGTTCACAAATACCGGAGTTTTCGCGTAACATACATACAAAAAAAATCATATAGTCGAATTGAGAACATCCACCTTTTTTTGAAGTCAGTTAAAAATCGACGCCATTACAAAATAAAACGATTTCACCGTGTTTCGCACTTATTAACAAAACATTACAAAAATATATACTTATAATAACTGAGATATCATAATTTTGTTCGAAAATTTTTTCTCTAAAAATTAAAAAAAAACAGTCCATAGAAAAAAATCCTTCACGCATACATTTTCTTCAACTCCTTTCTTAAAATTTTACCTGTCATATTTTTAGGAATATCTTCAACAAATACAACTTCTTCGATCTTCTTGAACGAAGCTACTTTCCCAGCAACGTAATCCTGAATTTCTTCAGGAGAGACGCTAAGACCATTTTTCTTTACAACAAAGGCTTTAGGGCTCTCCCCGTTAAAATCGTGAGGGACTCCTATGACTGCGGCTTCGACTACCGCAGGGTGTGAACGTAAAATACTTTCCAATTCAGCTGGAGCCACTTGCATTCCTTTCACCTGCACAACAATTTTTCTCATGATTATTTTCGTAAAGAGAACTTAGAACAATATCATGAAGTATTGTTAATAAGTAGTATCTATGTAGTATCGTCTATATATTATAAAGTTCAATTAGCTTTCTCCGACATACAAGTTTCTCTGCGTTGTTTTCGTTCACCATAGCTAAAGTTACGACAAACGATACCCTAGTATCTAATGATTTAAAAAGCCTTAACCTACAACCTTAAATCCTTACCTTAATAAGTTCTTTTATTCTATCAGTAATAAAGAGTCCCTTCTTAGGATCATAATAGCCCATGTCTCCTGTCTTGAAAAACCCATCTTCGGTCAAAGATTCTTTAGTCGCTTTCTCATTTTTGTAGTAACCTCTCATTACGGTCGGTGATTGGACGTACATTTCTCCAGACTGTTGACAATAACATGTAAAATTTTGTGAATTTTTCAGAAAAGACTTTCATATAATTATGTCTATCAGTTCAACTACATCCTGTGTCACATTTCGACATAAACATCAATTTGGGTAATTTTATACAGTTCCTGTATAAGCTACTGTACACGAAATTTGAAGGAAAAGTCTTGGGAAACCATGAAAGAATCATTAACTATTACCCAAAGAACACACCAAAATTTCGAACACGTATGTACTTATGTACTTATGCACGTATGTAATTTCGGGAAAACCAATTCGGAAAAGTCGAAGGTAATAGATCGCGTACACATGATGGACATAGATGATATCAAGTCTCCAGAGATGCTATTATGTGAACCCTCTTGGGATAAGCGATATTATTAGGACTGTGAAACATAAGAAGACAATACTTTCTTGCGCCATGTTTCATATATAAACGTCAAACTAAAATATCTCAGTAAAAGAGATCACGATCCACAACGCTAGGGAGAGGCCTGTATTAATTGCTTTATCATCATCGTCATCAGCCAGTAACGTTCCCTACTGAACACAAACCACCTCAATACAACACCAGCATTACCTCCCAGCCGAATAGCACGAAGATCTGGTCAAGTTGGTAACAAATAAATTGATATGTAAAGCTGAATACTCAGTACGCTGATAATGATGAGGAAAGTGAACAGCTTTCCAGGACATCAGTCCACATTTTGGGGACCGTCCGTCACTCTGTTTTCAATCTCATATCGGATTCTTAGGTTTTCGCGATTATTATGAAAATGAAACTATTTTTTCGGATCTAAATCTTTTTGACGTTTGACTTGATCATGGGACCTATAAAGGGCCTGAAACGTTGGTTTGTTTGAAAAACAAATATACGCGATTTAAATCCGAAATAACCTAACCTCAGTACAGAGTACTAAAAAAACCGACCTAAAAAGTCATTCATCCCTTAGTTTACCACCCCTAGAGGTCGATTGTTTTCTTCCAATTTTAATGGGACCACTTCTGAGGTGCCGTCTTTCCAACAAAAAAGAATCATTAAAATCGGTTCACAAATGGCGGAGTTATCGCTTAACATACATACAAAAACAAAAAACCATACAGTCTAATTGAGACGTCCTCCTTTTTTTCAAATCGGTTAAAAAGGAATTTCATTTCCTAATTTTTAATGTTTGTCAAAACGATATAATGACACCTAATTAGAGCTTTAGCTACTCGGCAACAAGATCGCCTATTGCATTTTATTTCTTGGTATCTTACTAGTCCCCTACTTCTGACGTAGTTGCAGTAAAGTAACTCACTTCTCCAATAGGTACAGTTTTGCCAGTTTGCGGATCCACAAACTTCAGCTTGACGCTCGACATAGCTATTCCACAAGAATTGTAGTCCACGTCTTTTGCTCTTATTGGGATGGTGGTAGTGAGAGACGTGGTCTCTGTCGCTCCGTAGCCTTGGTTGAATTCGAAGTGTCGCTGAAAAGGAAGAAACGTATTTTGTCAATTATATTTCTAATTAAGCGTTTAAACAGCTGTTTAGCCGCAGTGCCATCAGTGACAAACTTATGAAAGGTTCTTTACTCAACCAGGTACCTTAGAAGAGCCGGAACCAAGGAATTTTTCTTTGTCTTCGTTCGATATTTGTATCAGTTATAATAAACTAGTGGAGAATTTTTCCAAAAATATATGAATATCGTTGCAGTAAACATATCATCATAAATATTGCAATTAGATAAGGAAGCAATATCTCTTGCCAGTCTCTGATATACAAGTAGGTAGGTTAAAAATTTAAATAAGTACCAGAACGAGGACTACATTAAATGGATGTAATTTGTATCTCCCCGATTATCCCAAATGATGGCACATAGCAGCCTTCCTTCATTGTATGACTGTATAATAATATGTATAATTATATTTTCTTCACCAAACAAGTGACTACTGGAAACAACGACGAGATGTTGGTAATAATGGTTTCGTCATGATAGCAGAGAGGAACTGATTTCACGGGTCACGCCGTGTCGCACCGTTTGTACGGGTGAGCTCGTGCCACAGGCCCCATACTTGTGAGCCCGTGCCGATACGGACAGTACTCTTCCACCAACCAGGGGCCGTGGGTACCTGACATAAGCCACCAAAGAATTTGTGCATTAATGAAGACTGAGATTTGGGTGATGAAATGAGAGATACGTACCTCACTTCTTTTGAGGACAGCTTCAGCATCAGTAGCAGCCAACGGTGCAGCTCCACAAACAATATGCCGCATGTTCCGGAAAAACTCTGGCTTCACGTCCTGATGCTTGCCGAGAAGAATTGCTGAAATCGGTTCAATGCAACTTTTGATGCGCCTGTAAAAACTATACTAGCAATGACAATAAAATGTCGGAATACTCGTAGTGGAAATTAAAAAAATATAATTACTACATCGAAGGAAGAAATTAATTGATGAAAAGTCACCTTCCTTACGGTATCCAATACATGCTGCATACGAAATTTTTCAAAGTATAAAATTACATTATAGATTTAATTAGGCACCTGACAAACGGACATGAGTTTCACTATTACAGTACAGTCGATGATCTAAAATACCTGACCACCTAGCCGCCAAGCCCAGCTTTGAAATTTGTATTAGGGGTTAAAGTATGAAATTGCCGTTTTATTGCAATAGGTTCTTTGAATGTTCATAGAATCTTCATGGTTTGAGGTTTTCGAATGAAACTTTTTTCA